TACTACAAAAATAAATAAATAAATAAAATAAAATAAAAATTCAATCTCATTTTTGTAGGGGAATTACTTATAATATTTATAATCTGGAGATAATACAATTTAAGGAATTTTTCTTGTATTCACTTTACAGTTCTACCTCCACTGTATTATTTGTTCTCTGTTGTTGGAGAATCTCTTATAGTTCAACAGTGAACTTCCTGCATTGACTTTTTTATTCTTAGGTATTTTTGTTGTTGATGATACAGGGTAGTTCAGACTCGTAGTGACTCTCCTGCCTCAGCCTCCCCAGTGCTAGGATTACAGGTGTGCACTACCAGGCCCAGTTTAGGGGCCAGCAGGGCATGGTGCACCAGGAATGAAACTCCACTGGGGATTGAACTTGGCTTTTTTTTTTTTGTGGTACCGGGGATTGAACTCAGGACCTTGCACTTGCCAGTCAGGCACACAGACCACCAAGCTACTTATTTATTTTTTTTTTTTTTTCACTTTATGGATTTGGTACAGGGTCTCACTGCACAGCTCAGACTCGTAGTGATCAGCCTCCACAGCAATGGGATCACAGGTGTGTGCCACCATTCCTGGACTTGGTTGTCAGCTCAGTGTGCCAAAGGGGCAGGGCTGGCACAGCATGTGGGACTAGAGACAAATCCTGGTCCCTTTGCTTGCCTAAGCAGGTGCTTAGTCCGCTGAGCTATCTTACTGGCCCAAAGCTATTTATTTTTAAAGGTCTTTATTTTCTCTTTCTTGTATTCACTTTATAGTTCTTTATAGCTCGCTCTTTCTTTCTTTTTTGTATTTAGGACAGGTGTACAGGGTCTCACTGCGTACACTGGACTCATAGTGATCCTCCTGTTTAGAGCCTCCCAAGCGCTGGATTACAGGCATGCACCACCACCACCAGTCTCAATTACCTGTCAGTGTGCCCTGGGGGCGGGGAAAGCATGGCAGGCCTGGGAATTCAACTCCCAGCCCTTTAATCTGCTGAGCTATTTGGCCAACTCTTAAAGGTCTTTATTTCCCCAAATTTCTACAGCTATCTCTGTCTACTTTCTGGAAGATTTTTTTGTTGTTGTTGACAATACAATGCTTTATTTTTTTAAAAAGAATTTATTTCCTAAAATCTATTTCACCTCTACTTTTTAAGCTTTAACCTATCATTTAATGAATGCAGTATCTTTAATAAAGATGATCATGATTATTACTTTATTTAATTTGTGTTTGGTACATTATTTTAGATTTGTTTAGTGTTGTCTCCTTCATGATCAAGGCCAAACACAGAAGACATTTAACTCACGGTACTCTAAAAGTAAAGAAATAAGAAACTTAATCTGTGCATGCACAGTAGGCAATAGAATAAGAGGTACTGCGCTGAAAACTTGGGTACTGTACTAGGGACTAGGGAGTAAGATCAGCCATTTTATTTTGGTGGCTGTGGTGAGAGGCCCACTCTCTCAGCCTTCTATCTAGCAGGAAGGATTAATATGAACTACTTAACATGTACATATTTTTTTAGTTTGGTGCTTTTATTTAAAGGGAAAAGTTTTTCTTATTAAATATGAACAATTCCAATAAAAAATCTTTTAATTGATTATTTTAGAAGAAATCTGCATCAACAGTCTCATTTTACAAAATAGTCAAAAATAAAATTATTTTATAGCTAAAAAGGCAGAGTAAGCTGATTTATAACCCTACTGCCCAAATTAGGCATTTTAAATGAACAGGTCTTAATTAAAGATGCTGTACTGCACATAATAATCATAGGCAAGGGTAGGGGAGATAGTTCAGTGGTGTAAGTGCCTTCCTGGCAAGTGTAAGGTCCTGAGATGGATCCCTGGTACTGCAAAGGAAAAAAAAAAAAAAAAAAAATCACAGGCAAAGCAACTACTAGGTAGGATATCAGTAAATTATCAAAATAAGACTTTTAAGAATGAATGAGGCACTATCAGTAATTAGGCTAGATAATATAAAAAAATATATATATATATCAATCAAAGTAGTCACCCTATTTCTGGGACAATAACTTCTTAGATATTAAACCTACTATTTAAACTTTTAATTTTTTGTATTTTTAGGGAAGGGTCTACAGGGTGTTCAGGGTCTCACTACTAGATCAGACTCGTAGTGATCCTGTTTACAGCCTCCCAAGAGCTAGGATTACAGATATGCACCACCACACCCAGTCTCAATTGCCGTCTTAGCGTGCCCTGGGAGTGGGGCTGGCATAGCAGGCCTGGGATCGAAACTCCAGCCAAATCCCCGGCCCTAAGCAGGTGCTTTAATCCGCTGAGCTATTTGGCTGGGCCTCTAAATATTTTAAATGTTACAGAAGTAAATTTTTTTTTTTGAGGGAGTCTTTTTGAGACAGGGTATTGCTATGCAGTTTAGGTTGGCCTTTAGCTCACTTTGTAGCCCAGGCTGGTCTCGAACTTGCAATGATTTTCCTGCTTTAGCCTTCTGAGTGCTAAGATTACAGATGTATACCACCACACCTAGCTGACAGAAGTAGATATAAAGAAAATATAAAAAGCACTCTTCTTCTATGAAATGTTTTAAATGTCAAAACATAATTTAGAAAATAAATGGTTGATACACTGTGTATCATGATCTTAAAAGAACAGTCAAAATGTTACTCAGAAGACAGATCGTAAGAGTCTCCTCTACAAATAAGAAACAAGTAAGAGGATAAAACTGTCTTCTGCATGAACAAAAGAAACCAGCAGTATGAATGAAACAAAAATATTTTTAAGAGAATGGAACAAATAATTTAGGGAATTATCTGAACTTGTCCCTATTTCCTATTTATGTATCTTTTATTTTGCTCTTTATTTGTATTTTTTTAGTTTATCACATAAGATAAATCATGTGATATTAAACCTGTACATCTGACATATTTCACTTAACATTATGTTCTCAAATTACACCCACCTGCCTATGAGTGCTTCAAGTTTATCTCTGTTTATGGCATAGTAGTGCCCAAGTACATACATATTTTTTAAATTTTTATTTATTTTTTAAAAAGGCTTTAAAATTTTATTTATTTATTTGTGTGTGTGTGTGTGTGTGTGTGTGTGTGTGTGGCCAGCTCAGCCCACCAGGGGGTGGGGCTGGCAGGCATGTGGTGCTGGGGGATTAAACCGCGGTCCCTGTGCTTTGCTAAGCTTGTTCTAAGTAGGTGCTTTAGATCACTGAGCCATCTCATCAGTCCCAAATTTTTATTTTTGATGGACATTCTTTCTGGTATAAGATGCTATCTCAATTTACTTTTTATTTAGATTTTCCTAATGGTCAGCAATGTTGAACATTATTTCATGTGTTGATTGGTCATTATCTTTCCTTCCTTTTTGGTATTTTTAAGATGGAGTCCTAAAAATCCCATCTGCTGATTCTTGGTATTATTTCTTAAGCCACTGGGGTTCTTTCTGTTCAGAAAGTCCTTTCCTATTCCTATGTCTTCAAGAATTTTACTTATCCAGTCTTCCAGTTGATTGTTTTTGCTTTAACATTTAGATATCTGACCCATTTTGGTGTAGTACATGGTGAGAAATAAGAGTCTAAACTCAATCCTCTGTATGTGGATATCCATATTTCCAGCACCATTTATTAAACAGGCTATCATACTTTCAATATATGTCTTTCGCCCTTTGTCAAAGATCAAATAGCTAAATATGCCTGGGATTGTTTCTGCTTGCTCTATTCTGTTCCATAGATCCACACACCTATTTCTGTGCTAGAACCATGCTGTTTTAATGACAGTAGCTTTCTGGTATAACTTTAAATCTTGGGATGTAAGGCCTTCTGCTTTGATTCTGTTACCCAGGACTATTTTTAGTACTCTCATTCTTTTCTGGTTTCATATGATTTTAGGAATGTTTTCCCTAGATCTGTGAGAAATGCTATTGGTGTTTTAAGACTGAATTAAATTTGTGTACCACTTTTCAAAGTACAGCCATTTTCATTACATTAGTTTTACCTATCTAGGAACAAAGGGGAGCTTTCTATTTTCTGAAATCTTCCTTGATTTCCTGTTTCAAAGTGATGTAATTTTCTTTTTCTTTCTTTCTTTTTTTTTTTTGTGTGTAGCCAGCTCAGCCCACCCTCAGGGCGGGGCTGGTGCAGCATGTGGTGCTGGGGATCAAACCGTGGTCCCTAGCTTTGCCTAAGCTTGCCTAAGCAGGTGTTTTAGACTGCTGAGCTATCTCACCACCCCTGTGATGTAATTTTCACTGCAGAAGTCTTCCACTTCTTTGGTTAATTTCTAGGTATTCAATTTTTCTTAACTATTGTTAATGGTACTGATTTCCTAATTCCTTTCTCAATGTTTGTTATTAGTTTTAGAAATTTTATTGATGTTTGTGCTTATTTTGTATCTTTTTACATTGCTGAATTAATTCTAACAGTGTTGTAGTGGAATTTTTTTTTTTGGGGGGGAGGTCTTATAAGTAAAGGATCATGTCATCTACAAACAATACTTTGACTTCATCCTTTTTTATATATATTTTCCTTTTCTTTCTCTTGCTCAATTGCTCTAGCTAATGTTTTGAGGGCTATGTTATTTTGAAGAGGAACAGAGATAATGGACATTCTTAGCTTAATTCTGACTTTAGAAGAAAGTAAACCTGTAAACTTATAAGGCATTACCTATCACATAATGCCTTCCGTAGCAACAAAAAGAGACATATTCTACTATGATGGTGCCTAATTCAGAGGGCACTATGGTGAAACATAAGATAAAAATAAATAACAGAGAAAAAGCTAATTTGCAATATATTGTCTCCCATAATAAGCACACAAACAACTGCTGCAGTCACACATTGTCTTTCAAGAAATAATAGTAATTCAAGTATTTTTAAATAGATATATGTAACTGGAGAGCTTTCGTTCTGCTAGAATTCTTTCAATTAAAGAAACAGAAAAGGTAAATGGTTAGGAAAAAAACAAAATGGGCTTTAGTTTTCTATCCAAAATAAGGCACGAAAGAAGACATTATTATATCCTCTTACCCATTCCAGAGTCTTTCTTGGTGCCATCTGATATTATGTCTACATGATCAGAGTCCACATCGTAACTAAAGAAATCATTGAGATAGGTTTTTGATCTCTGTCCACCAAAAACATATAAACAACGATTTTTCTGAAAGAGAATAAAAGGACAAAGAGAGAAAACTATAACTTCCATGAATAATTTACAGTGATCTTTTAAAAACTTAAACCTTTACAGAAGTAGTTTTTCAACAGACTGTAAGCAATGGAGTACTATGCTAGAATAAAGAGGAAAGTATACACTGCTAACAGGTATCACCAGAGGTGCAGATTAATATATAAAAGTTGCTGCACTGTGTGAGAAAAGACCAAAAATACTATCCTCCGTGTATGAGTTAGTTGAGTATATTCCCTTCTTTTTAAAAAACTGAAGAAAGGATAAATCAAAATCTAATAAAACATAAGGGGAAGGAACAAAGCTCCTTTCTATTCCTGTCTAGAAAGAGATTAGGATTTTAACCTAAAAGGTCAACAAAGAGCCAGCAGGATAGCTCGGTGGACTAACGTGCCTGCTTAGGCAAGCACAGGGACCATGGTTCATTCCCCAGCACCATATGCCACACTGGCCCTGACCATGGGCACTTCGAGCTAGCCAGAGTCTGAGCATGGTGGCGCACATCTGTAATCCTGGTGCTAGGGAGGCTGAAAGCAGGAGGATCACCACGAGCCTGAGCTGCATAATGAGACCTTGCAACAACCAAAATCCATTAAAATAAAAAAAAGGTCGACAAATACAAAATCAAAGTCATAAGTAAAAAAATCTGTAATTTGAATTAGATTTATCAAGACTGAGTTTTTCTCTTACTTAAAAACATGTATGCATGAGAGCTGGGCTCCTACTGGCCAAAAGCAAAGAAAAAAAATGAGCACAGAAAAGAATGATAGCAAGGGATTCAAAACTATCAAACACAGAAAAATCCATTGGTTCATACTTATACTTTTAAAAAACATACCTCAATGGTTAATTTTTAAGAGTCTTAACTCAACTAATAGGATAATCAAGAAAAACGAAGTCAGACACTTACATTGCTATTCTGTATGGTTTACATTCCAGAGTAACCAAATACGTGATTTTTTTTCATTGTGATTTTGTTTGGGTTTTTTTTTTTTTTTTTTTTTTTTTTTTCAGAACCGGGGATTGAACTCAGGCCCTTGCGCTTGACAGGGAAGTGTTTATTCCACTGAGCCATCTCCCCGGCCCCTGTGGTTTTATTTGAGGAGAGGTAATAGTGTAGAATCACAGTTAATGAATGCAGAAGAAATGACATCACTAGAAAAAATCACTATTAAAAATCCAGATGATGAATATGAAATTAATAAACATTAAAACTATTAGATAGAAGAAACTTCACAACGAATCAGACTAATAGCACTTGAACTCTTTAACATCATCAAAAGTGTGACAACTAGACATTACATGCCTCTATATGTCAGTCTGAGTATACAGGAAGTATTCCCTTCTTGGCTTTCTCTCAAATGGAGATTAAAGCCAAAATAAAGCTTCTGGATATAACTTCTAGGTTTTACGAAGTATTTTGTTTGTTTTTGGCAGAACCGGGGGTTGAACTCAGGCCCTTGTGCTTGCAAGGTAAGTGCTTATTCTACTGAGCCATCTCCCAGGCCCCACAAAATATTAAGAACAGACCATATTAAACCACACTATGGAGATAAAAGCAATCTATCTGATAACACTGAGATTCTAGAGCAAAAATGACTTTAAAACAAATGAGTAGTATGTGTGTGGGAGGCAATATTATGGACTAAAGAGAACTAAAGAGCCATTGGGTATTTTTCCAGAAAAAATGAAAACATACAACAGCAACATATGTGTACACTTTTTTTTTTTTTTTTTTTTTTTTGGGTGGAATCCGGGATTGAACTCAGGCCCTAGTGCTTGCCAGGCAAGTGCTTATTCTACTGAGCTATCTCCCCAGCCCCATGTACACATGGTTACAGCAGCATAATTTGTCATAGCTAAATCTTGGGAACAAGCCAAATGCTCATCAATTGAGGAATGGATTAAAACAAAGATGCGGTATCTTTATACAATGAAGCATTACTCAGCTATAAAAGATAAATTTGAATCTTTTAAATGGATTCAATTAGAGACCATACTTATAAGTGAAATAAATCAGACCCACATGTGTAAACATCATATTATCTCCCTAGTGTAAGAACCTGAAAGAGTAATTACAATTCAAAAGGTACAAGAGATACTGTGAAAGAGAAAGAAAACTGTTCAAAGGGAAGGAACAACTGAGATAAGGGAACCGAGAAAAGAAGGGAGGGGAAAATATCTATATGGATATACCCAGGACAGCCTGGATAATTATACTGCTGATTTCTACTGGTCTACTGAAAGGAATAAATTTTATTTTTCTTTTTACCACTGCTACATGCTTATAGCTAGTAATCTGAACAACTAATTTAAAGACAATATACAATATAACAACCACTGTTTAATTCGTTTAGTGAAATTCTGTATCTTTTTTTAATACAGCTGAATATTTATTTATTCCTTTATATTTTTATATTAATTTTATTAAGAAGTAGCAATGAGACAGTTTCAAAACACGTTAGTAGGACAGTTACAATAATTAATACATTGCATGCTGTCTTTGTAATAGTGATTCATAGTACAAGATGCAGACATGATATCCTGTCTAAACACTTACTGGTTCAAAATTTTCTTCTCATTGATCTAAGAGAAAGTAGCTGTATACCTATGATTTTTTTTTTTTTTTTTTTTTTGCGGAACCAGGGATTGAACTCAGGCCCTTGCCAGGGAAGCACTTACTCCAATGAGCCATCTCCCTGGCCCCTATCTATGCTATTTTATATATACAGATATATATATTTTTTCACTACAAAATGGTCCTTCATTTATATTCCCCTTTCTTGTTTACTTTTGTCAAAGATAGGTATTCCATTGCTATTCATATATTGTAGGGGCTTGAATTCAGCAAAATAATCCAATATACTCCAGTAGTCTGTAATAACAGTGGGTTATTCACATGACTGGCAATGTCAGAAGTTGCTGACTTGAGCCTTTTACAGTTCAACGTATTAATATGGATTTACTTTCTATACCTCATTTCTATACTTTTCTGCTGGATGGTTAAGACCAAGCTAATGCAAGACCTATATAACAAGAAATGTAACTTTTGTATCTGATAAGGTCAGTCCAATCCCCTCAGGATGTACCCTGAAACCCTGTACCAGTTTGTAGATCAGTGTCAGTGTCAGCCATCTGGATGAGTCACAGCCATTGCTTGACCAATTTGCTCTCTGTGAAAGCCTGAGAGAATGTTTTCTCTCCATGTGACTCTCCTTAGGCACACTCTACATCATCGATCACTTTCCTCTGTGGCCCCATAATCTCCTTGATCAGAAAACCTGGGACACTACTGAGTTACAGGATATTACAGTACAGGTTCTCTTATGTCCCGAGTCCTCACTGACCTTGAAAGGCTAGGGTCAAAATGTTGGCTGTCCTTGTAGCCCTTCCTTCATATCATTTCTATTGTTTTTAAAAAACTTTTTCCTATTTTCTTTAAATTTAAAAAAATAAATCAAAGTTTCTCAAGAAAGAAAAAGTATATATACTGATAAATTTTAATTCTTAATTCTATGAAATCAATTACTCTTTGTACTTCATGGAGAGGTAAAAAAACTGTCCTAACTGTAAGTGGTAAGAAGGGGAAATAGCTATGCTACCTAGAAAGGCAGTAAACTTAATCATAAAACTGCTGGGGATTTGGCTCAGCGGTAGAATGCTTGCCTAGCAAGCTGGAAGGGTTGGGCTCGGTCCTCGGTACCAAAAACAAAAAATTAAACCTCCCCTTAATCATAAACTGTCTAATTTAGAATTCAAGTGATAACTGTTCAGAAGTTTTTAGGCTGACGGGAAAAGCCTCAAACTGAGCAAACAGTTCATTGGTTAAGGAGGTTTCTTTTTTTCTGTCATTGCTACACTAATCACTTATTTCTTTTTTTTCTTTTTGGTGGAACCAGGGATTGAACTCAGGCCCTTGCACTTGTCAGGGAAGCACTTATTCTACTGAGCCATCTCCCTGGCCTAATCACTTATTTCTAATGAAAAGTTTTGATCTGTTGTTGAAGATTTTCTTTTCTTTTTCTTTTTTAGTGTGTGTGGGGGTAATACTAGGAATGGGTCCCAGGCAGGCCACCATGCCACTCAGCTATATCCCTAGCCAAGATTTCAATTTTAGCATTTCTTTTCCTGTAGTCATAATACATGACAAAATAACATAATGCAATGCACAGAATAGTCTTACTGAGTGGAATAACATGCAGTGTCCTATCCGAGATTGGATGTCTTCAGGTCCAGCATTACAGGAGTCCTCTCGAAGAAGTTTCCAGGTTTGACACTGACAGTTGAAAGCAAACAATCCACTGAATTGTGGTTCACTGGCTCTGCTGTCATCTACACTGCCATTACATGTCAAAATTCTACCGCCAAAGGTGTAGATCATATGTTTTTCTGAATCCATACACATCTATCAGAGAAAGCAACAAATTGAATACCTTTAGTTTGCTTCTGCCAAATGTGACAAATGAAACTTATCTCAAAAACTCAACTTTGTCATTTACAATACTAAATACCAATCCCCTATTAAACTCATTATAATACAGCTTATTCCCAGGCACAGATTTGATTTCTAAACACCTTTTCAGATTTCCTTTTATCACAGTCAGAATAAAATACGTTGAGTTAAAGAACTTTCTGCTTTCTTTAAACTAATTTTTACCAAAATCAACCAATGTTACACATGCATTGAAATGTATCTAAGACTTAATACTGATCCTGTATAGTAATCATAAGCTTCTTTTCATCCTCCTTATAAGAGCACCCTTTTTACTGCTCTAAACAAGTATTCTATTAATTTTCTACTTAATATGAAAGCTGGTATGCAAATAAAGTGACACAATTAAATTCACTTTTGGGTTTTACAATCCTCTTCAAATTATTATTTTGTAAAATAGCAAAACAAACATTAACAATAGTTTTCAGACTGACTTTTATAGTGTGAAAATCCTGGTCTCCTTTAACCCAACCCTATATACTTACTTTTCTTTGAAATCAGATGTTAAACACAAATAACATTTATATTTAAAGAATAAACTGTGCACAGAATACATTTATTAATCCATTCTTCAGCAAAAATATAAGTATTGGCTGTGTATATTCAAATGTCTCCTCCCATGAAATTACTTTCACCATGTGTCTATTACATTTTTAATAAAAAGTTGTTTTTAATGATTTTTAAAAAGTACAAGAGATTATAGCATCTCCTAATTTTACCACCAAGATAATCTATATTTCCTTTGCCATTTCCCAGGTTTTTAATATTTCTGTAAATTAAGATGAAAATTTACTACAATATGTATCACAATATTTTACTTATTTTTGGAACTCCAGTGAGGTAGATATTGAAACTTCAAGACCTCTTTTGTTTTTTGTGGCACTGGGGATTGAACTGAGGACCTTGAGCTTGCCAGGCAAGCTCTTATTGTGCTGAGCTATTTCCCCAGCCCATCAAGACCTCTTATCTGAGTCTTAAGTTTTCTCTCATAATTTTAGCTCATTAATTTACTAATTTAGACAAAAGCCCATTTTGCTTTTTAATCAATTTACTGAGATTTTACTATTTAATAGTTTTACTATTCAACTTTTATAATTTTTATCTTTTTCATAGATGAAAAAGAAAATGGAATATTCATCAGAACTATTTTTTCATAACTATTTTAAAATACCATTTTCTTCAATTCTATTAGTTATCTTCTTGAATTTATTACTAATTTCTATTAATTCATTAATAAAGTATTATGAAAGATTCTAGCATCTCCTACTGTTTAACACCAAAACAGTCTGTACCTCCTTTACTATTTTTAAGGTTTTAAAAACACTTCCATAAATTAAGATGAAAATGTACTACTACTTCCCCCATGGTGAAATCTTGGTGAAGATGGCTAAAAAAACAAGACATTAAAGTTTTCACTGGGGAGATAGCTCAGCAGCCTTACGCACCTGGCTGGGAAGTGCAAGGTCCCAAGTTCAATGCCTGGCACCAAAAATAAACAAACAAGAAACCCCCCTCAAAACAAAAAGAGAAAGTTATCATGTTCCAAGCATTGCACAGATTGGGTGTTCCCAGTCTTCAATCTTAATCATTAAAACCAACTTATACATTGCAAAGATGACTCCACATGGCTCCACTCAACTCCAAACTGGGTTACACTATCCTGTGGAAAGTACTTATGGCTCAAATCTTTCCAAATACCCGGGGAGCATGCAGAAAATCCTGAGAGGTCCGTATTAAGTGAGTCTATTTCCATTTTCACAAATTCACAGTTCATACTAATGGCCAATATCTATTGCCCTACAGTTTTACTTCACATGGCTACACAGGAAGTATCTTTTCTCATCTTAGGGATATTTAAGCTTAACTGCTTATTCTCATTTGTCATATAAACATCTTTTTATCATAGTAGCTTTTGCCAGCATACCAGTCTAAAACATTTCAAGGAGTAACATAGTAACACTGTATTAACATGGTAATTTCCCTATCTTGACAAATAGGAAATAAAATAGAAATAATTGTAGTCAACTACTTACTCCCAAGCTTTGTTATTTTCTCAATGAAGATATAAAGTTCCAAGATAGTCAATTATCAATGACAATAAATTTTGATCACTCTAGGAAACATGCTATTCATTAGCACAGTTTACTCTCATTTTTTATTTTTACTTTTTTACTTCTATTTGGTTTTTAAATTTGTTTTGAAGTTTTGATCTCTGAAAAATGTTCCAGAAATTTAATGACCAACTCTGCATGATCCTTTCCATCAAAGATTTTAAGAAAGTCTTTTGAGCCACAAGTTGGAAGACTTGTCAACTTACAAGTTAAACATCTAAAAACTCAGTGAAAAGCAAATACCAACTTGTTTTTTTTGAAAAATAATTTTTAAAAAAATCTAAAAGTGACTTTATTTTACCCTATCATAGGAATATAAGATTGGCAAAGTCTAAGTGGGTTCAAAATAATTTTCTCCTTATAAAATTTTAGATTTTGCTCAAAAACCTTCTAAGTATCCAGCATAGTCCAATCTATTACCTTTCCAGTCCCAATTTCCAAAAATATCTCGTCAAACTGATTCTTGCTTACCAGTAGAGAACCAGTTTTCTCTCTGTGGTTGTTTTTAGGATTTTTCTCTTAAGGTTCTGAAATACCTTGATTCTGATATTTCATTAAGGAACTACCTAGATAGGAAGTTTTTCTTTCTTTCTTTTAAAAAAAAATTTATTGAGAAACAAATAGCAATGAGACAGTTTCAAAACTAATTAGTAGGACAGTTTCAATAATTAATACATTGTGCATTGTTGTCTTTGTAATGGTTATTCCTAGTACAAGATGCAGACATGATATCCTGTCCAAACAATATTAGTATTAATCTTTCTTCTCACTGAATTACGAGAAAGTAGCTGTATATCTATCCTAACTATATATGAATACAAAATGGTCCTTCATTTGTATTCCCATTTTTTGCTTAGTTTTGTCAGATATGGGTATTCCACTGCCATTCATATCTTGTAGGGGCGTGAATTCAGCAAAATAATCCAATATACTCCAGTAGTCCATAATAGTAGTAGGTTATCCGTAGGACTGGCAATGTCAGAAGTTGTTGACTTGAGCCTTTTACATCTCAGCATATTAATATGGCTTTACTCTCTATACCTTGTTTCTATACTTTTCTGCTGGATGGTTAAGACCAAGTTAAAGCAAGACCTATATAACAAGAAATGTAACTTTTGTATCTGATAAGGTCAGTCCAATCCCCTCAGGATGTACCCTGAAACCCTGTACCAGTTTGTAG